ACTAAAAATACAAAAAATTAGCTGGGCATGGTGGCACGTGCCTGTAGTCCCGGCTACTCGGGAGGCTGGGGCAGGAGAATTGCCTGAACCCAGGAGGCGGAGGTTGCGGTGAGCCAAGATCGCGCCATTGCACTCCAGCCTGGGTAACAAGAGCGAAACTCCGTCTCAAAAAAAAAAATTATTCCAGTGACTTTCCAGCTTAAAATTTGGAAGCAGATTTTCCGTAAGAGGCTGTCAAGTGCCTGTATCTTCACATGTTGTTAATAAGCTGTTACATACGTCCCAACAATTCACAGCTGAATAGCATGCACACTACATATTCAAATGTTTACTCTTTCACAGCCAGTAACAAAGTTATTAGGAAAACAGGACTACCACAACCAAAGATGTTACGGAGTGCACACAATTCTGACAGGGAGAGCCACGATCAAAGAGTGGTTTTCTTTAGGAAACAATTCTACTAAAAAACAACATGGGAATAGAAGTAATTTAAAATGTTCAAGACATGAAGTGCAGGACTGACTCCATATTGTTATTTAATATGCTTTGTATCGTAGGATATAAAAACGAATCTTGCGATCTGTGGAATGTTAAGCTGACGCCTGAGACAGTCAGAGCCTCCCATGATTCAATATCCCACACTATTTTCTGGTTGTCCAAAAAAAATAAACAACCAGCAAATGATTTCACCTCTTGAAAAAAAGCATTTACACTTAAAAAATGGGATGAGGTGGGATTCTCTCCTTCTTAAAAATGTTTCTAGAGCTACTAAAAAACTTACACTTAGAAAATAGTTGATAAAAATGTTCCTCTGGATGGTACAAGAAGGGAGACAGGGACCACTGATAAGACATGGCATATGGTATTGATCAGACTTGGCTTCTTTCTCTCCTGCTTCATCAGAGGCTGGAGTCTTCACTGCTGCCTTTTTCGGCTTTGCTTCCACTTTTTTTGCAGGAGGTTTTCCTGACAACTGCGCCAATCTCTTGGCTTCTTCCTTGTGGGGCGGAGCTGACCTTCCTTTTGGGCATCCTGGCGGCGGCGAGGTGTGTGCTGGGTGCCTGCGGGCCGCGGCGTGCCAAAAGCCTTTGCGAAGCTGGGCTGCCTGGCCGCTGCCACTTCTCCTGCGCCCGAGCTGCGGAGATCCACAGCGGGGGTTTATGATCCGGTTCTTGCTCTCCATTCTCCATGGTCTTCGCTGTCATTTGTCCCTCCTGCATCTGTCACCTGGGCTCCTTTGGTGCTTCTCAATTCCTCTTTCTTACATGACGTCTTCTCCCCTCTTATTCACCCAGCAATTGTGACACCAAAATGCTGTGCACAAGGCAAAGATCTGCTCACATTCCTGATCACAAACTTCCAGTCTTCCCATTGCCTCTAGAATAAAGTCCAGCTCCTGGCCTTGCTTCTGAGACTCTTATACAGTACCAGCCTGGGTTTTTATTAGCTTTAGATCTTGTATTTGTGTCCTTGTTACAGTCTGTTTATTGTTCATCCTTGCCTCTTTTGCCTTTCTCCCAACTGTGAACGTTTTCTGCCCAGAAATCCCAGTGGATAAACTGCCCATGGCTTCGCTAAAATTTCACTGCTCTTTTGAAACATGCTTGCATCTTTAGGCTTAATGGTTTCTCCTCTGTGTTCCAGCTGAGGCTTTATTCTCTGTAGTAGTATTTTGGTGCATGTGTTTTATCTCTGTGGTTAGTTTTATACATGTCTGTCTCCCACGAGATTGTTAATGTCCGGAGAGGAGAGGTGATGCTTTGTTCTTTACTCGAGTCTCAGTAAGGCCAAAAACAGGGCCTTGTAAAGAGGAGACACCTAAGATTTGCCAAGATGATACTGTTATTTTCCACATTGAAATTTGAGGTTGTAAAATGGGCAGCTTATAGGCACTCTGGCTTGGCTTCCTTTTTTCTTTTTTGAGATGGAGTTTTGTTTTTGTTACCCAGGCTGGAGTACAATGGTGCAACCTTGGCTCACCACAACCTCCGCCTCCTGGGTTCAAGCGATTCTCCCACCTCAGCATCCCAAAGTGCTGGGATTACAAGCGTGAGCCACCGCCTCCAGCCTGGGCTTCCTTTTAAAGGCAGGGCTGTTTGATCCTGACCCCACTTTAACAGTATGACCAGGTTCTTTCCCAATCCATCCCAGCTGCACTTTGAGACATGTTGCTCTGAAATGGTGGGGCTTTGGACCAGCTGTTCTGAGCTGGGATTACCTCTGCTTTGATGTTATGGTCATCTGCAAGCTGTTTCAGCTCCTGGAAGGGGGCCATCAAGGTGAAGTCACACCTGTCTAGGCTCTGTTTATCCTTTCAATCTACCTCAGAGGTGGGGACAGCTTTTATTTAGTACCTGACGTGTTATCTGGTTCTTTTTGTGAGACAAAAGAAATAGTGTTTTGTATTGCTTTGTGTGGGGAAGGGTAGGATTGCATTTTGGTTTTGATTTCTGTTGCCTTTGGTATCTTGTCCAAACTGTTTGTGGCCTGTCAGAGGGATGCATGCTGTTGAAACTTGGTTTTTCATTTTTGTGAAAGACTCTCCTGGCTTACATTCAGATTCCCTCCCTGTATTATCATATATGGTACAGTTAGTCTGTGAAGAGAGTTTCCTGATCCCTGTGGGGCTAGAGCCCTTCTTAGGACCACTTTGGACTACAACTGTGTTTGCTATATTATTATTTTTTCTACCCACAGGAATTATACTGAAGAGTCTGCTTCCGAGGACAGTGAAGATGATGAGAGTGATGAAGAGGCAGAGGTGGAAGAAGAGGAGGAGGAGGAAGAAGATTATGAGGTGGCTGGTTTGCGATGTAAGTATTTTGTTTGCCTTTGTAGTTGATTTCACAGTCTTCTAAACTTGGAGCGCTTGGAAAGGGTGGCTTGGCACTAGGTAGTGTCGCCTGCTTGCTCCCTTCCATTTCTCTCACGTTTTGACTGTGGTGTGACTTAGCTGCCACGGGTTTAAATGGGTTTTCAAGATGGCGTTTAACTTTCTGCCTGGTTGGAGGGAAGGTGGCTTGATCTCAGTAACATCAACCCACGTGCTCTAAGATTTAGTAGAATTCATGGTCCCAAGTATGTTTATGACAAGGCTGCTGGATCTAAGCTTCTGGGTGTGTGGGGACGATGGGGAAGGAGAGCCAGGCCCCTTGCTGTCTCCTACTAGCTCCTCTGGCCGTTGCTGCATTGCTGCTGTTAGAGAGTGACTTTTTCTCCCTGGTTACAGTGACTTTTTCCTCCCTGCACTGTTGCAGGGCTATAGCTTTGCTGGTGTGAAAAGAGATGACTGACTTTTGAAGGCTTAAGTGTAAGGATGTTAGGAAAGTTCAGATCTGTTCTCACCAGATGCCCGTAGGAAAAAAAGGCATTATCTTTTGTGTTCACTCTCATTCTCTCATGTTCATGACTATTGGAGAGTCGTGTTCGTGGCTAATGTCCTCCATCAGAGCCTTTCTTTTAATAGCCTCCCTCTTTCCAGTATACATTTTTTTTTGAGATGGTCTCACTGTGTCACCTGGACTGGAGTACAGTGGTATAATCTCAGATTACCTCAATCTCTGCCTTCCAGGTTCAAGTGATTCTCCTGCCTCAGCCTCCCGAATAGCTGAAATTACAGGTGCCTGCCACCACACCTGGCTGATTTTTGTATCTTTGATAGAGACGGGGTTTCACCATATTGGCTAGGCTAGTCTCGAACTCCTGAGCTCACTAGCTTAAAAATAGAATCAGTATGGTACCAAATTCTATAGTACTATAGAATCTGCTCTCAGCAAAACCAGGCTCAGTGGCTCACACTTGTAATCCCAGCACTTTGGGAGGCCAAGGCAGGAGGATCACTTGAGCCCAAGAGTTCAAGACCAGCCTGGCCAACACAGCGAGACCCGCTTGCCTCGGCCCCCCAAAGTGCTGGGATTACAGGCCGAGCCACTGTGCCCGGCCAATATACTTTTCTTTATAAGTTGGTAGAAAACAGATCACAGATCAAAATTTTGATGAAGTTTTGAAGCAGTGGTACAGCTCCCAAGATCATAGCAGCTCTGAATGGTCTTACTGATATAAGGAGGGAGAGAGAAGATGCTTGGCATGACCAGTCTCTTACTGCAGTGAGACTACCAAAACCCAATGACTTTGGGCTTGCACATTTTCTCCTATCCTTCCACTTTCTGCAGAGGTGTAATTTGGGACACCTTACATCTCTCACATTCTAGCTGGCTCTTTTTGTTTGTTCACTGGGCCTGATTTTTCAGGTATCCTATGGTAAGTGAACAAATGGCCCACCAGTCCTGCATTCAAGGATGTCATCTTCTGTTGGTCAGAGTCTGTGACTTGGGCACACCTTTGTTTGGGAACATTTTTTATTTTTTTGAGATGGTGCTTTTGTTCTGTTGCCCAGGCTGGAGTGCAGTTGATCTCCCAGGCTCAAGTGATCCTCTTACCTCAGCCTCCTGAGTAGCTGGGACTATAGGCATGTGCCAGTATGCCCGGCTTTTTTGCAGAGATAGGGTCTCACCATATTCCCCAGGCTGGTCTTGAACTCTTGGGCTCAAGTGATCCTCCTGCCTTGGCCTCCCAAAGTGCTGGGATTACAAGTGTTAGCCGCTGTGCCTGGTTTCTGAGAGCAGATTCTATAATACTATAGAATATGGTACTATACAGATTCTGTTTGTTTTTAAGCTAGTGATTGCTTTCCACTTCTAAGTTGTAGCTCTCTTTCCAAGGAATTGTTTTTCTAGGTTTCTGTGGTCTCTCCTTGCCAGACAGATCTAGGAAGTATTTGGTACTTGAGAGCTTTTTTTCAGCTCCATCTTTTAGACCACCAAAGATGTGGTTCCCAGGTGCAGCTGAAAGCTCTAGCACCTAAGTGTGAGCTTCTTACTGTTCCTTACTGGCCTGGGCTTGAGCTAGAGACCCTAAAGTAACCAAGGAAGAGTTCTTGTGGTCCAGAAATAGAATGGAAAGTAGTGTTTCTCGATTCTTTTTGTCACGGCCTCTCTAGACCCCTATCTGTGTCCAGTGTCATCTGCCCACTCCCTAGGGTGTTAGTGAGGGAAGGTGGTGGAAAGCCTGGAGCTAATCCTTACGGCATTGTTTCCCCGGGCTCACTGAGGAATGCTGGTTGGCTTGACGTTAAGCACCTGTTGTTAACCTGAGACACAAGTCATCTCACTGCCTTTGTATTCCCTTTTTTTTTTTTTTTTTTTTTTGAGACGGAGTTTTGCTCTTGTTGCCCAGGCTGGAGTGCAGTGGCACAATCTCCACCTCCCAGGTTCAAGTGATTCTCCTGCCTGAGCCTCCTGAGTAGCTGGGACTACAGGCATGTGCCACCACACCCAGATAATTTGTATTTTTAGTAGAGATGGGGTTTCACTATGGTGGTCAGGCTGATCTCGATCTGCCGACCTCAAGTGATCCACCCATCTCAGTCTCCCAAAGTGCTGGGATTACAGGAGTGAGCTACTATGCCCAGCCTGTATTCTTTATTCTCTTGTTGAGTACCCTGGGCTGGGCTCTTATGGAACGGACTAGCTCTAAATTGTATTTAATGAGGCAGCCTTATGGCCTTTCATGTAAGGACCAGCTTTTCTCTGAAAATATACTGATGAGTGTAGAGTAACTCTAGGGGTTACAACACGGTCCATTTTACAAACCAGTTCATCTCACATGTAAATACATCCACTTATTCAGGCTGACCTGTTAGCAGATGGCTTCTACTTCTCAGGGTTTACAGTCGATTCCTGCAGGGGCCTCATGGCTGGGAGTAACCGTGCAGAGTGCGGGCAGGACAGAAGTACTGAAGGGCCTGGCCTTCTCAAGGGCTTTGGCAGTGGATGAAAGATACCCATTCTTCATCTGCTGCTGCTGCTGCCTTTTAGTGTCCTGTTAAGTAAGGCAAGAGAAGATAGCAACAGTGAAGCCACCGCTTTTCTTGTCCAGATTGTCCCTGCATCTTTTTTCCCTGTTTTGAAGATTCTCCTCCCTTCACCTTCAGTTGTTCTGTGCTGAATCTATATTTTTGTTTCAGTGAGACCTCGAAAGACCATCCGGGGCAAGCTCAGCGTCATCCCCCCTCCAACAAGGTCAGGCCGGCGCCCGGGTAAGAAGCCACATTCTACCAAGAAGGCTCAGCTGAAGGCACCACCTGTGGATGATGCTGAGGTGGATGAGCTGGTGAGAATTATTTATCATCCCTCCTCTAACCTTTCTGTTTTTTATTCCCAACCCTAACATTAGGAATTCATCAGGCAACAGATGGTATGGGCGCCTCCCCCTCCTTCCTGCTCTCTAACTTGGGAGGCAGATGGGTGGGCCTGTAGGCAGACAGAAGCAGCAGGCCCTCCAGGAACAGCTATGTCCGGCATTCCCTTGCTGTAGCCTACAGACTAGTTAGCAGGCAGCCTACAACTTATTAAGGATTTAAAAATAGTATCCATGTGTCTCCAGTGGGCCCAGAGGGGCTAGGTCTTCATTGTGGGAATGTCAGCAATGTTGGAGCCTCACTTACTGTTGGGTCGACAGTTGTTATGGGAGGGACATTACCCTCCCCTCCCCTTAACCAATGTAATTTTGGTAGTTTTTAGATCTCACTTGAGCTTTAAAGAACAAAAAAGAAACTCTTGAAAAGGTGCTTGTTTTGACAGATGAAATTGGAGTTGGGGGCTTAAGGCAGGCCACTCAAGAGATCAAAGAGCATGAGAGGATTCTCCTGTTGGCCCAGCCTTCACCCCTTGGGCTCTGTGGCCTCTGCTGTGAGTCACAGCTTTGTTATGGCTACCTGGAGTGGAGACCCCACCCCTTCCTGCTTAGCCACTTAGCCCTCACATGTCTGGTGGAAGAGCCCAGGAAGGCAATTGGGCCTCTTGCTTCTCTTCCCAGAGGCACCTCACCCCCACAGAATTGGCTGCTGGTGGCCCAGATAGACTGGCTTTCTGCAGTGGCTTGTTGATGCCCCTCCATGGTGTCACTGTAACCCCAGGTCCACCTGTTCTCTGAGAAGAAAAGTGGCCCCCTCCAGCAGGACTGCTGGGAAAGACGGCCCCTGCTGCCTGCTCTTTGCTGCTTTGATCACCATGCCCCCGGGAGAGGCGAGTGGACCACTGGGAAGATGCAGGCGTCATGGGCCGAGGGTGCTCCCTGACTTGAATGTCAGGTTTCAGCCCCTCTGCTTCAAGGAAATAGTGAACTGCCCTGTCCACTCGTCCTCCTGTCTTGAATCTGTAGTAACATTGTTCTTTCTTTCCTGCCAGGTGCTTCAGAGCAAGCGGAGCTCCCGGAGGCAAAGCCTGGAGCTGCAGAAGTGCGAAGAGATTCTCCACAAGATCGTGAAGTACCGTTTCAGCTGGCCCTTCAGGTGAGCACTGTATTCTCAGGCGCAGGGGAGGAGTGGCCTGGCAGGTTCTGAAAGCTTCCAGTGCCCCGAGGGTCTCTCAGCCAAGCCCGTCTTTCAGGACGTGTCTTAGTGGCCGGGCTGCTGCCATCAGAGCTGTGCAGACTCTCTCCATTTGGTTCTTCTCCACAGGGAGCCCGTGACCAGAGACGAGGCCGAGGACTACTATGATGTGATCACGCAGCCCATGGACTTTCAGACAGTGCAGAACAAATGTTCCTGTGGGAGCTACCGCTCTGTGCAGGAGTTTCTTACTGACATGAAGCAAGTGTTTACCAATGCTGAGGTTTACAACTGCCGCGGCAGCCATGTGCTAAGCTGCATGGCGAAGACAGAACAGTGTCTGGTGGCTCTGTTGCATAAACACCTTCCTGGCCACCCATATGTCCGCAGGAAGCGCAAGAAGTTTCCTGATAGGCTTGCTGAAGATGAAGGGGACAGTGAGCCAGAGCCCATTGGACAGTCCAGGGGACGAAGACAGAAGAAGTAGAGAGGCAGGGCCGTGGTAAGGAAGCTGAGGTGGGGGATAGCAGGGAACAGCCAGGGAGGGTGGGAGGGAGGCGAGAGAGGAAGACCAAAAACTCAGAAGAGATTGCAGGGAGTCCGGAAACGCCCGGCACCCCAAGCTGATGCTGTTTTTCTAAAAGCTCTTTGGAGGGCTTGATGCTGGGCTGGTTGTCTTTGTCCAGAAGTATTCTGGGATGAAGAGGGCCATAACCCTCCCTTCTGAGAGTTTGCAGGAGGAGCCTGAGGGTCTGGCTTTTCTGGTGAACCCAGTTCCTCTCCTGCCTTCTTTTCTGAGGCCTCTCCCACTCTGGCTTCTACCACAGTGCCAAGCCCCTCTGGTCTCCAGGGGAAGGATCGCTGTGTTACAAAGCAAGATCCGGGGTAATCAGGCCAACAGGGGAGATGGTGGCGCGTTTTCTTTTTTAATCTGTATTTATATAGAGTCTTGTTTCTTTAAGCCCATACTCTGTCTCTTCCCCCATCTTCCTCTCAGGTGACAGTATCAGTGAGTGCCATACAGAATTCTGTATTCACCAGCATCATGAAACAGTTGTGGTCTTTTGAGTTGATCTTGGCAGAGTAAAGGGACATGTCCTGGAGCCATTCCTGAATATCTCCCCTTCTTTGTGACAACCTCCCCCACCCCAAAAAAAAAAAAAAAAAAAACCCACAAAACTAAGGCACTTCAGTAAGAGACTGGAGTCCTGCTTATAATCATGCATATAACCTTTACTTTGATGGATCTGGCCAGAGGGGTGTTGGAGCCCAGCCCACCCTCATACCAGACAAGCTCTTAGGGGAGCAGAAGAAAAGCAGGAAGAATTTAAATGTTTAATTTTTTTTAAATTGACTTTTCTAGTTATTAAAAGTTGCTTGTTTCAGCAGTGATATTGTATAAAGAACATCTTGTAAGATACTCTGACATCTCGCTTTGGCACATGTACAGTACTGTTTCTATGATAACGTGTTTGCTCTAACTTCCCCGTCTTCTCCCTCAGCCCATCCACTCTCCTGCAGAGCAGTTGGGTTGGAGGCTCATTGAGGCAAGCAGCAACATCGGGGGGTGGCTCGGGGGGTGCTGCATCTGCTGCTTCCCATGCCCATTCTGACCTCAGACTTGGAACTCCTTGAAAACCTGAAGATTCCAGTGGTCAGTGTTGGTGGGGGCTGGGAGGAGAGAGCGGCAGAGAAGCTCTGAGAGCCCCTTCCCATAACAAATCTAGCTCTAGTTGTTATATTTAGGCAAAACTTTGTAGTCTTCTTTCCCTTTTATGATGGATTTTGATAAAAGTACAAAACAGGGTTTAATTTTCTTTTTTATTGACTTTGAATTTGGAAAATTTGAGCACCTAAGCTCTTCTGTACCTATTTAATACAGTCCACCAAGGGGATTGCAACTCCTAGAACATGAGAATAATGCCTCTATTAAACTGCGGAGTGTGGCCCCTGCTTCTCCCGTCCTCCTTGCTGAGGGACGGTGGGGATTGCTCCAGGGCTGGCGGGTAGTTTACCGTCCCTTCTACAGGCATGGAGTTGGCACTGACATCACAGCTTCATAACCCCTGCCACCGCCAGCTTCCCCTGCCTCTTCTCCTAGATCCAGTCTGTTCTTGTTCATAGTGAGAATCCTGTGTTCCCACTTCAGTGACACCTGAATTTTTTTTTTTTGTCTTCAAGGAGGAAGGGCCCCATTAAAGGGTGAACTTGTAATAAATTGGTTTCAAATAAACCTCATGTACTTGTGTTTATACAGAAGAAACCATTCTGGTGGCTGTTTCTTCGTGTTCTGTCTTGGGTGAGGGTGGGTAGTGCTGTCTCAAGTGCTGCTTTCCCACTGACTCTTGGAGCCAGGTCCTCTGAAGTCTTGGCCTCTAGTTAGAGGGCCTCTCAGTGTTCTTAACCATAGAAAGGACTCCTCCAAGCCTCTCCTGGCCTTGTCTTCGTCTTAAACCCTGAAAAACTTCATTTGAAACTAGGAATTAGGGTGAAGATAGTTTTTTAAGCCTTCACTGTGGGGAACCTCCTGCCATTGTAAAACCTTTTTCAAAGAACTTTTTTTTTTTTTTTTTTGGATTGAGTCTTATACTAGGGTGGAGTGCAGTGGCACAGTCTCGGCTCATTGCAACCTCCGCCTCCTGGGTTCAAGCAATTCTGCTTCAGCCTCCTGAGTAGTTGGAATTATAGGCACACGCCACCACGCCCAACTAATTTTTTTGTATTTTTAGTAGAGACTGGGCTTCACCATGTTGGCCAGGCTGGTCTCGAACACCTGACCTCGGATGATCCACCTGCCTTGGCTTCCCAGAGTGCCAGGATTACAGGCGTGAGCCAGTGCAGCCAGCCTCAAGAAAAATTCCAGACACACACAGAAACAGTGAAGAAGTAGAATTCCCATGCGCTCGGCTCTGATGGTTCTACCCCATGGCCAATCTTGTTTTAATTGTGCCTTCATATATCTTTTAAAGTCCAACTGGTTTGCCAGGCACGGTGGTGCGTGCCTGTAGTCCCAGCCACTCGGGAGGCTGAGGTGGGAGGATCGCCTGAGTCCAGGAGTTCTGGGCTGTAGTGTGCTATGCCAATCGGGTGTCCGCACTAAGTTCAGGATCAATATGGTTGCCTAAGGAGGGGTGAACGAGCACAGGTTGAAAACGGAGCAGGTCAAAACTCCCGTGCTGCTCAGCTGAGCAATAGCCCTTGCACTCCAGCCTGGGCAACATAGCGAGACCCCATCTCTTAAAAAAAAAAAAAAATCCAACTGGTTCATGTGCACTGATGAAATTTAGAGATTTTGCTGAGCCACTGTCCTGGGCCCAGTTACTGACCAACTGAGCCAGGTGAAGCTGGCGAAATGGGAAGAGCCTTTGCGGCCTGAGCCTTGGGTGCAGGTTCTGCCGCTGACCGGCTTTACGGCCTTGGTAAGCATGGGCTTCGAGCCAGGGCCTACATAGGGGACTTGAGCGTTTTTGTCCTGCCTGGAGGAAGCGGGCTTGCCCCAATAACAAATTGGATTTGCCCAGTTCATCCACTCCAGCCCTCCACATCTGGAGAAGAGAGCCGTGCACCCGCTGGATATTTTCCGCATGGCAACGGTGACACTCGGGGCTCCCAGCCTTCCTCGGTGAAGTCCTGCTCCTCCGGTAATTTTCCCAGGCACTCACTAGGAGACCACCTTGGGGTCGTCACCTCTGGTCATGTCCTGGTCTCAGCACACTCTCGGGCTGTGGCCTTGTGGGGCAGCCACTTCACTTGGATTATTGTAAATGAGGGTGTGGGAACTGCATCTCTTGAGGACAGGGGTCTGAGTCATGGCTTCTGGGAGTCAGCTGAGGCCTGTCCTTTTCCCGCACGCTGTTTTTTTCTCCTTACATCTTGTCTTTGGGGAGGGGACCTGGTTAGTTGACTTGGTTGGCAGTGAGGTGGCATCTGGATTCCAACAGCGCCACTCAGAGAGGGCACCTCTTCCTGCTGGCCAGGGGCCAGGGCGTCTCTAGCAGGACACTGAGGAGCCCATCTCTTGTTAACCACGCTGTCCTAATCCCGGCCCTCAGCCTCCCAGCCTTAACGACACCCAGGACTGCTGTGTCTAGGAGCTGCTTCCTTGAGGGGGCAACTTCCTGGGAATAGGAGGATCTGGGGCCCACCATGCACCCCACAGGGACAGGCTCACCCTTTCAAGGGGCTTGCGGATGTGTGGTGCTGCTCTCTGAAAACCCAAATGCTGGGCAGCAGGGCCACTAAGGGGCAGGCCCCGGCCCAGACATGCAATGCACATGCCAGCACTTGTGGGTTTCCAAAGTATTTTTGCTTGGCCCTAGAAGGTTCCTTAATGGGCATAGGGGGAGGTTTGGCAGTGGGAGGGGCATTTGTCTCCTCCCCACCTGCTTTGCCCAGCTTCTGGGGACATAATTTCACCAAGACACACCCTGCCGTTCCCCACCAGGACCTAATCGAATCCCTGGTGTGGAAATCACAAAAACTCTGCAGGCAGACTTGGGTTCAACTCCCAGCTTCGCCTCAAACTGCCTGGTCATGAGCTCCAGCGGCCAAGCCATCTAAACACTTCCCTTCCAAAACTTGGGGTGAGCAGGATCACATGGGAGGCCTGTGTTTCCTTTTTCCCTTTCCTCCAGGGCCTGGGACTTACTTCCATAGCATCTTCCAGGGTTGAGAAGGCTGGTAGGGCTCTGCCCTCCCTCCCGGGTCCTGGCCTCAAAGCAGAAGCCCCTGGGGCCTGTCCTGACCCTGCACTGCCCCTGTCTTCGCCCCCAACCCAGCTGCCCTGGAAACCAGCACCAGGCTCATGTCTGCTGAGCAGGACATGGCCACTGACGGTAAGGAAGAAGGGGCGGGTGGGTGCTCTGGGACGCTCATCCTCCCCTCAACCCCCTGCCTTTCCCACACCCTGCCTGCCTTGCTCTTCCCAAGTCTGGAATCCTCCTTTTGCTCCAGCTGCCCCTGTCCTGGTGCAGGCCCTTCCCATCTTCCCTTCCACTGCCTGTGAGCCCAGCTCCCTGTACCCTCTGCCCCTAGTGTGGGCACTACTGCCTCCAACAAGCGCATTCTGTTTCCCACTCAAAGACCCTCGCATAGCCAGGCGTGGTGGCTCGTGCCTGTAAACCCAGCATTTTGGGAGGCCGAGGCAGGTGGATCACTTGAGGCCAGGAGTTCAACATCAACCCAGGCAACATGGTGAAACGCTGTCTCTACAAGAAAATACAAAAAAATGAGCCAGGCATGGTGGCGGGTGCCTGTAATCCCAGCTACTTGAGTAGCTGAGGCAGAAGAATTGCTTGAACCTGGGAGGCAGAGGTTGCAGTGAGCTGAGATCATGCCACTGCACTCCAGTCTGGGCAACACAGTGAGACTCCGTCTCAAATTAAAAAAAAAAAAAAAAAAAAAAAAAAAAAAAAACAAAAAAAAAAAAAAAAAAAAAAAAAAAAAAAAAAAAAGACCCTATGTGCAGCATTACAAGGGGGGTAGGGTCACTTGGCTCTGTTGGTAAAAGGCATACAGGGACTTAATGTATGTTCTGCCAGAAGGGAAGGATTTAGATGGAGAGGGCATTCCCCGTGAAATAAACGGCCTAAGAACAGGTGCTCGGGCTGCCAGCTTCCCCGGGGCAGCACTGCTCCTCGTGGTGAGGGATACCCCTTAACCCCCTCAGCCCACGATGGTCTTATCTCCTGGGAGCTTGACCCGACCTGTTTGGTTCTCACTGGATTTTTCCTGTCCCTGTGGGATTGGTGGTTGGGGTAGGGCGCAGGGCTCCAGCCTGAGAGGCCCTGGGTTTGGGGCTCTGCCTCACTATTGATCCTTGGCACCTCAGCGACTCCCTTCTGGGGTCTCCTGGTGGCTCTAAAGTGAGGCTGGCAGCAGGGCTGGACCTCTGGGATCTCCTGGCACTGACACCAAATGCCGGCCATGTGTGTAGTAGGCACCCAGGGACAGTAACTAAGACCCTCACCTGGCTGGAGTCACAGCAGCCAAGATGGGGCCCTGGGGTCTGACCCCAAGCCAATAGGGGTCTCCAGATGGCCACACATGCCCAACTACCCACCCACAGAAACAGGGCAGGCCCTAGGAGCCCTAAGCTTTCACAGCATGTGGATGGGACATGGGGTCTTTCCCCATACCCTGCCCCAGTGTGGAGCTCTGCACACTAGGCTGTCTCATTCCCACCGCTGCCATCAGCACCTCAAATCTGACAAGCTTCAGAGCTGGGGGCCCAATTCCCACTCTACTCGAGGGCTTCCCAGCTCCACGTGCATGTCTGTGCTACCCAGAGGGCCACAGACCAGTCCAGCCTCATCTTCGCCCCACCTGGAGACGCCAGCGAGCTGGCGGGGCTGCCCTGATGGGCAATCTTCCAAGGCCCCAGGGAGGGGGCGTTGTGACAATACTGACACAGGCTGATGCCCTCATTTTCCACACCAATGAGAAAAGCAAGGCCCCAGAGAAGAAAAACTCAGCCACAGCCTCAAACTGGAGTCCTGGGGCCAGAGGTGCTGGTGTCACCCTGGGAGATTCCCTGAACATCCCGCAGGCGTCCCTGTCTCCATTTGGAAGATCAGAGACGGGTGGGAGGGGAAAACACGCACGAACGGTGTCTGGGACTTCTGCAGCTGTTCCGGGGGGACTTCCTCCTGATTGGGGGGTGCCAGTACCCACCGCCAGCTCCACTTACAAGGCAGGCTCCTATGGGGCCCTCACCCTCCTACCTCCCCACTTCCCAGCCAGAGAGAACTCAGCAGTGCCACGCGGGGGTTTATTCCAGTCACAGCTTCCAGAGGAACGCAACAATAAATTACATCATTAAATAAACTCCGGCTGGACCGTGCCCCTTCTGCCCCCTCCTCTCCATATCCTCTCCTAGGACCCTGTGGGGACTCAGCCTGGCCCAGCCCCCACATTACGGGAGCTGGGGACATGAGCCTCATGGGGTACCCTCCCTGGTCCTCAGCCCCCTGGGCTCACTTGCCTGACCTTGACAGCTGGGCAGCTGCTAGTCAGCTGTCTTGGGAAGCAGGGGGGCAGGGCGTGGAGGGCAAGGAGGGGGGCAGCAGCCACCCTGCACCAGGCCTGTGTCGCTAGAGGTGTGTGGGGTTCTCCAGAGAGGGGTCCGTCTTAGTCATGTGCAAGACCACGGTGGGAGCCTTATAGTGGCAGTGCATGCCACGGCCATAGCCCCCGGGGGTCCGGCAGGCCTTGGCCCGGGCGCGGCCAGCTGCCATCTTGCGGTGGCACAGGCTCTGCCAGGTC